CATTTTAACTCCCTTTTGCTATCTTGTCCCAGCAAACTGCAAAGGTAATGGTAAAAACAATTCCTAATTTCATGCCTTCAGGAAAATTGAACTTCATCTCTGCTTCCATTCACTTATGCAATACAAATAAAGGGCTACTATAGTTTACTTTTTGAATTAAAAACTTGTGGCACATTTTTTATTATGGCTGCGTATGAACAGATGAAACAAAGGGCCAGGTAAGCAAACTAGGGGCACCCTTAATCAGATTTGGTGAGATCACTTACAAGGTTCTAGAGAACATTCTCTTGTCTGTAACTGTTTAGAATAGATGTGTTTTCTCCAAAATGGAAACACACCCTCCAGAAGCTAAGCAGAGAGCTTCATAAAATCACAGAATCCTAGAATGGTTTGAGTTGAAAGGGACCTTAAAGATTATCGAGTTCAAACTCCCCCGCCATAGACATTTAACTGCTTTGGGGGCTTCTTCTCAGCACTGAAACATATTGGTTTTGTGTTATTTCTGGGGGTGAGCAGCAGTGGCCATGTCAAGCATTGAATCCCCTTGTGTTAAAGACTGTGGAGCTACCTCAAGCACCAGCACTGTCAGGGCTGCCCTGAGAGGCCACGGTGAGGGAGCAGTCCATGCCCAGAGCCACACCACCCCCAACCATATACCAAGTCTACACTGGTCAGTCAAAATGGGTCAGGGCATGCTTGGCCTTCCCAAAGACAAGTCATGTGTATATGACTTAAAACAGGTAAGTAAAGAAAACACTTCTGGTAAAAGACTTGATGATTGTGTGCTGTCTTTTGGAGCCTGGAATTGCAGGATGATAAGGTCTGCCAGGGGAGCGTAAAGGAGTTTCCCTCCCAGGTAACAAAAAGGTTTTCCTGGTTATGGCTGTTGTTAAGGAGATGTTAAGGAGGCAGGGTGTTCTTTTACTACCTTGAGAATAACGGATGAAGAAAAAGCTAAAATTATCCTGGTATGCTTAAGTTAGGGCAGATTCTAAAAAGCGGGTGGAGAACTGCTGACTCAGATAGGCTGAAGACACTGTCTATCTTACTGATGAATCAAAACAGTAACTCTCTGACCACTGCAGAAATGGATGTCTTGTTCCAGGGTTGCATTTAAACAGGGATTTGAGCTGTCTAAACAGGGATTAGTGCTAGTTTCAACTAGAAACTAGCACTAATACTGGAACCAAGCAAATGTTTCCAGTAACCCCCAAATATCTCCAGTTGCAACTGGAGACTGTACAATCTTGTGTGAGTGAGCGTGACCAAGTAGTGGAGCATAGCTTTAGTAGGAAAACCATCACAGTCTTAGCATATCCTTGAGAAGTAAGATCCAAAGCCTTGGCTGAGTCTAAGACAGGAGGGTGCAATCCAAGCAAATGAAGTAGAAACACTTGTGTGCAGCCTGAATACACCTCCTGGATTTAATGTAATGCCGGTCCTACTGTCCCTTCCTAGAATGGAAATCTGAAAATGTAACTCCTGTCTCCCTATACTTCACCACAAAAAGAATTCAGCATTGACCCTGCACAAAACATAAGTCTCACCATAGCAACATAAAACCTAAAAGGAGGATCACATGGTGAAAAATGTTGTGCACGGGTGGCGGGGCGGAGGGGGGATGGTGGAGTCTGGAATTAAGATACATCATTGGGTTTCAATACATCATTGGGTTTCAGGAGAGAAGTTTTCTCTGAAGACAGGTCTCAGGTACAGAGTGTGGAGGTAGCTTCTATACACACCAGGGCACACAGAGAGGAGAAAATAAATGAGAAAAGATAATGAGCTAAGAAAAATATAGGAGACAAAAATAAATAGGAAGTGGTGACATTAAAGTTGCACAAGAAGTGAGGAAACAGCAAGGTGCTAATTTTCTCAGCTGGGCAGCTGAAGTGGACAGAGAGCAGAAGACATCAGGTGAAATAAGTGAGCCCCAGGTGTGGTCAGGGGAGGAGCACATGAACTTACTTCTTGACACAACTAGCGAAAAAGTCTCCAGTCTTCATTGCTTGAGGTACAGAGTCATGAGAAGTGTGAGTGTGTATATACATGGGCAGTCACTTGAGAAGAACCTCACAAGCCCAGAAGCCAGTTTCCCTCCCTTCATTAGCATAGATTTAAGGGCAAAGCACTTTGAGTTACAGTCTCATTACTGAGATTTAATTACTTTTCCTAAATGTTCTGCAGAACATTTACTTGTACATTGCAAAGTATTACAGTATAGTCACAACTTAGGCTCTCAATTACAGGAAAACTAGGCAGGAAAGAAGTTGAGTTAATTAGACTCACTGAACTTAATCAATTCCTCTGTGTATGTAGGGAAGAACATGCCAACTTTTAGTCCATTTGTGAAGCAACCTTCCCTGTATGCTACAGGTTATTAAAGCCTTCATGGCAAAGGGAAAAAATCAATGGCTAATATCTGAAAATGGGTGTTTTTTGCATTTTCTGCGCTAGGCTAGTTCATTTTTGCTTCATTCCTATTTTTGATAAACTAAATGCTTTTGTGTTTGAAATTGCTTCTGACTGCCCATCCTTAAACCAGTACTTGGTCTTTGAAGGTCATATTGGAGCCCCAAACTAGCACTCCAGGCCCACTTGTAGGACAGCCTTTCTAGGAAGACCAGGACCTTCATAATGGAGAGTAAAGCTGCAGCTCTTCTGCATACTTTGTCTAGCCTGGCTATAATGCCATTCCTACTTGTACAGTGACTGTCCCTTGGAAGGATGGAGGGAATCTCCAGGCACAGTGGGGAAGAAAGGAATTCACATGATACATGAACTCCAATTTAATTAGGTCATGTTAAAAAAATTAAAATATATACATATATATAATATTTATAATATATAGAATATATATATAGGCAGTCACCACTGAGAAAAGAAAAAGTCCACAAGCCCACAAGCTAGTTTCTTTCACTTCATTAGCATAGATTAAAGGGTTTTACATTTAGGTACAAATAAATACAAGTACAAAAAATATTATTTCCTACATAAATGTATCCCACCCCAAATTAGACAGCAGCCAGATAAATCACTTCCTAAAAGTCATATAAGTATGTTGCACGTTAGGTGTTAACTCCTACCCCCAACTCTCTCTGTGCAGTTAATGAAAAGAGGACTCAATTAGCTTTCAGGCTTGCCCTGTAGAGGCGTGAGACAAATTCACCATGTCTGATTCAGTCTGTTGTGGCCATGCACTTCATTGTTATGACTTAGCATGCTTGCATTAACTCCCTGTCTTAGGCATGTGAAATCCAGACCTGCATGAACTGACTACGCAGGTGCCAATCTAGGAAGAAAATGACTAGCAGCTTCTGGGTGCAAATAAAATGTACATGTGTGATCAGTGAGATCCAAACATGTACTTGATGATTTCATTTTCCTTTGAAACTGAGTGGATAATTAGTAGATACACCTACACAGGATGGTGGGTGTACGTCAAGACTTATGGTAATAGAACATACTTTTTTTATGTCACATTTGCATGCCATGTGAAAGAAATAAGATACATCATGTACACATACACAGAGCTGAGAGAGAAACCGTTTTTCTGAATGTATTTTAGAAGACCCTCACATGGGTGTTCTGTTTTACTGTAGTACAGGATGAACTTGGAGAGGATAACTATAAGCTATAGAAAGTGTGTGTCAAAACATAATGGCATTCAGAATATAAAACAATATAAAGGCCAAATGAATATCTGTAGCAATATGGCACTGTCTGTTATTCTCTTTGTAACAGTCATAGAAAAAGTTATTGGTTTATCAGCCACACTATTAATTTTCAGTTTCCTTCTTTACCTTCTGCCAGTGAAAGCAAAATTGATGTATATATCCCAATGAGTATTATTTTATGCATTTTTGAGTACTATTTTATGCATTTCCGTATCAAAAATGACATTTCATTTTTCAGTAACTTCAGAGGCAGATGCATCACGAATGTTTTTGCTAAAAAATCTTCAAAATTCTCTAATGCACTAGCCAAGAGTGGTGTGTGGTGCACTAGCGTGGTGGCGGAGGGTTCAGCACCAGTAGATGGCATTCGTTCCCTGCAATTCCTGCAGCAGCAGTATGTACTGAACTTGCACCAAAGCACTGTAAGATGTGGGATCAATCGAGAAGCAGATAGTTAACTGTAAGTTGTTTTCCTGTAATTTGAAAAAAATTTCCTTTCAAAGCACTACTTTATTTTTCCATCATTCAAGGAAGAGTTTATACATAAACACTGTATAGACACGGATTTGCTGCATCTGAGTGGCAGGGTTTGATATTCACTTTGCACATTGGTATAGATACAATCCAGTCCAAACCAATCTGTTTGACCAGTATTTTCTTTATCTAGTAGCAGCTTTCCATGACTAACTGATGGAAGAACCTGACCTCCTTTCCCAGTTCAATAGCATCTTTATTCTACTGTTCTTCATGTTTCTAAACACTCTACTAAGGTAATAAAACTATCAGTTTAAATATTTGTAACAATAATTTTAAAGCATGTTATGGCTGGAAATCCACAATCTATGCTATTTGGCAAACAGAAAGAATACAGAATTTAACCAAGCTTTTTTTCTCCCTCAAACAAAACTGAGCTTTACCCCTATGAAGGTACAGACTAAGAGCATCTTGGCAATTCAGCAACACCATGTTGTTCCACCAGCCCTATGACTCTGATGCAAGACGTATCAGGCATGGAGATGCTGAGAAGCAGGGCCAAATATGCAGCTGCCCTGATTTCTGGCACCCTTTGCCCACAGACCTCCCAAGTGGGAAAGGAGGGGCTCACTGCACTGACATGCTGGCTTCTAAGACAAGTATTAAATATAAAAAGAAAATGGAGCAGGCAAGTGGACATACAAATATAGGCCCATGAAATTAAAAAAAAAAAAAAAAAAAAAGATCAATTTAATTTCCATTGAGAAAATAAATGACATGTGATGCACAATGGTGTCTCATATGGAGTTTCAGTAACGTGCTTACAGTGACATTAAAAGCAGGTATTACCTGTTCTAAGAGATTCTGAAGCCTCTCTATCTCACAGTCTATTACAAATTTCTTTTCTTGCCTTCGGTCCAGATCTTCTAAAAGCCGCCTGTAGCTGGCATCGTTAAAATTCTCCACACAGATGGCACTGACTTGCCAGCTATTTTGTCCTGCTTTTTCCATAATAGCTTGAAGTATTGAATAACCTAAAAGAAAAGAATAAAATACACTAGTAACACAATCATGGCATTTTTTGAACAGAAATTTTCCCTAATCGATATTATGTCTCTTAATATTTCCTCCCGCAGAGAAGGGAATAAAAGGATATATGTATCCCTATCTTTGCTGCTAGCCATGATCAGCACACAGTACGCAATTAACAAAGTTTACAATTGATGCGATCAGAGTGCTGGGAGTGATTCACAGCATTATGGATAATCTTTATATGATTTATACACACAAAAGTCTTCCAGTCAAGCATTCAGCTTCTCAGATTGGCTTTATACAGTTTCTGTATCTGAGCATTTCACAGCACAGCAAAGAAAAAATCTGAGCCTACTCATCCAGCGGAAGTATTTGCATACCACAAAAGCATTCAAATGCTTTGCATTATTTTTTTCTTTCAAAACATTTAATCCAAGCAGTTTTTAGCGCTTCTTAGTAACAATTCCTTGTTTCACTTAATTATACATATATACACCAGTATAGACATATGAATAGAAATCATATTGATCTGCTTCAGAGATTCTATATAGTTTGAATCAATGTATGCAAAGAGATTAAAGGTTAATGAATGAAGGGCACCATGGAAACATTAACTGTTACTAATGGCAGGATTATTGCTCTTTATCAGTAGCACTATTTGTTGCCCCCTTTGTCGTCTTTAAGCCCGTTCATGGAACGGAAAGGCAGTGTCCTGTAAGGGGTCACCACCTGAACCTGCAGGGCAGGCTCTCTGCCTTCAATCTCAGGGTATCCTGGCCCACCAGCCCTTCACGTTCTCCCTTCTCTCTTTTTTTTTTTTTTTTTTTTTTTTTGGTGTGTGTGTGTGTTTCTTGTTTTGGTTTTGTTTGGTTTTGTTTGGTTTTGTTTGTTTGTTTTTCTTGGTTTGTTGTTTTGGTTTGTTTTGTTCCTCCCCCCTCACTGGGGATGTGCAGTAGAGAGACAGCAGAGGAGCTTACAACATTAGGACAGCTTGCAAGCCGCATATTAACTTGCTCAACCAATTCCTGAAGCAGGAAGCACATGCTATATTATCTTTTATCCAGAGTAAGTGGTGAACTTGTTTAAAGAAATGAAGATTGTACACCTCAGATGCAAATTAATGTTTGAAAAAGACAAAAAGGACAGAAGGACAGATATGTTTCCCAATAATATGTTCATACAAGTGACACAATTCAGAGAAGGTTCTCCTGCCTAAAATCACAAAAAAAAAGTATTGTGACTTTTTACTCATTATCTGGCAGAATTTTTCCCACTAGCTTCAAGCGAAAGATTTCACCTCTTGAAAATTTTCTTTAGTGATATGGCTACCCAGTGGTAGCCTCTTTCCCTCTTCAACGAGAGAGTCCTGTGTATGAGTGCAGTGACCCCCAGATGTCATTTTAATGCATTTGAAAATGACACTGCATGACAGATTCCCTGTAAAAGAACTATCAGATAATCTCACAAATTTCAAGAGGAATCTTTGTAAGTTACATTTCAGAAAGAGCACTTTCGAGTGTGCAGTTACTAAATAACTAATTATCAGAAGACCTACAACACAACCAAAATCTGAATTTACCTCCAGTCAAGTAATAAGTCAACAATAGTGTTATCAGAATACGAAGATTTTAGGACACATAGGAAACCAATTCTCTTGCAAATCTAGGAGTAGTTATTTTTCTACTGGATCCTATGATATATTCAGTCTTTGAAATATTAACTTAAAATCTGTATTTTCTTATCATTATGACATTATGCACCAGTGCTCAAAATGAACATTTATTATGTTTTTTTATCCAATTCAGATGACACATTTTAGATAAAAATGCAAAAAATTATAATAAATACATAAAATTCAGAACATATTTTATCTCATAAATAAGACTTATTTTATGAAACAGTATTTTATCTCAGGAAATGAATTCAAATACTTGATGTATTGAGTATTACAACATTTCTGTATTCAGCATATATTTTTAACCCAATGACTGTTATTTTTTTTCAAAGATATATACAGCTTTCCTGTTAATTGCTACATAATCATTCTGCTTTTCCTGTTGCTATATTCAGTTTCCTTTTTGCCTGTAATTATGTCTCCAAATCATGTCGAGATTCTTTCCCAAACATTGTATTTCTTGCTTCATTTCCTATTCATTTCCATGTATAGACATACATTAAAACCATTCCAATGTTACAGAGGTTCCTGCTTCACTTACACGGTAACTTTGATTTGATCTTTGCTACACAGGCAGTCAACATTTACTTAATTCAGCTTCCTGACACTAATTAACATTTTCTTTGATTCAGAATGAATAGTGTTTGAAACAGCAATTGACATCCCCTCCTTCCTTTTTTACTTCACTTGAACAACTTTACTAAGATGTGTTTTGATCAAACTGCTAATTTATCCCAGCATAAAGCACGACAAATACCAGACAAACACATAGAAAACCTTTTCTTCTACCTTGGATCAAGGTTTGACTTGCCACATTTCATTAGCAACTGCCTTCATTCATGCATTTGAAGCTTCTGTAGCTTCCTGTCAGTAGCTGGCACTTAGATAAGGGTTTTCACATATAGCATAACACAGCTAAACAGTAGTAAGTGGATGTGGTGCAATATTCTCCATCAGAAGAGTTCAGAATCTCTACACAAGTAATCAGTGCTATGGTCATCTATTCAGTGTGCAGGAACAATTTTTAATATAACACACTGACACGGATGGCGTTTACATGGAATGAATAAAGGCATTCGCAGGCTCAGTTGGCATAAAAATTAGACATGCTGTGGAGAATGCTTATTTGTCCAAAATAATTGGCTTCAGCTGACAGGGAAAAAAATTAGTTGCTGCAAACATTTTATAAGGCAACCCCCCCTGAAACTAACCTGGTATAATACTCAGAAACAGAATGCAGCATTTCCATTCAGACAAAAGTCTTAATCTTTAGAAATATGTTTGCCCAAGTAAAGACAGCAGATATGAATATTACAGCTGTCATCTAAAAGGTATTTATTTTCTAGTTATCTGCTGTTTATCCTCAGTTATGCTGCAGACAGATGAATGATTTATTTTCTGTAATACGTTCTGTCCCATGTATCGTGGAATACTATTTATTGCATAAAAGCCAACTAAAAAAGCCTTAGGCTAACTCATATCAGCTGAGCTGCACAATCCATGCTTTTCAAAACAACATTATTTAAAAAAATGTTTAGGACTATGTCAATACATAAAAGTAAGCTAAATTCTTACAAATTTTTGTAGTATAACCCTTCCTCATCAACTAACCTTGAAATGCAGATAGCATTTATCAAAAAAGACAAATGGCTGCGCCCAAGCATAACTTCTTGAAGCATGGAAATCTGGTTCTTCATGGAGTTTGTTCACCTTTTTTTTCCTTTTTTTTTTTTTTTTTTTTTTAATTATCAAATCTATGAACACAAAACACCAATACAACTGCCTGGAAGGTGAAGCCCTTCCCAACTGCAAGGACATTACATGGTTTTATTTTTCCTCTTCATGAGACTAGATTCTGGGGAATTTTCCTCAAATGACCTGGGTTGAGAAGTCTCTGAACTGCTTTTTGTAGGTCATTGCTTAAATGTAGATACTACTAACAACTGCTTAAGGACCAGTAATACCAACTTCCCCTCAGTATACTGGAGCCAAAACAGAGAAAGCTCAAGTCTACAAAGACCTTGTTTTCCTGATCCCTTCTCTCCTTGCTCAGGTGGAATTGTGATGATCTAACATACTGTTTCACCCCCCCCCCCCCAAAAAAAAAGCACACAATCATAATGTTTGGAAAACAGCCCCAAACATGAAAATGAGAAGCTACTTCATTTATTTAAAATAAAATCATAGCTGGAGATGCCTACTGCAAACAACTTACATATTGAGGTTGATACTACAGCTAAATACCTTAGAAACAAAATCTCAGATTTTTTTAAGTCTTCTTCTCTCATTCCACACTCCATAGGCATTTTTTCATCACAAAGTACATCAGCCATACAAAAATAATACCAGATGTGCACCTGGTGCTGTATCTGTTTAGAGTGAGATTAGTACTTCTTCAGAGTCAGATGTCTTCTGGAGGTCAAAGTGTATAAAATGAGCAATTTTGTAGTTCAGGATTCCTCCTACCCACTGCAACAGTGCCATAATTGGAGCCTATACACAATCTGCCTCCACCCAAGTAGCTGAAATCATTAGTAATATTTTTGATTTTAAAATTTCAGTTGCCTTTCAGGCTTTTTTATTTGTTCTCTGGTATACCAGCTAGGCTTCACCCTATCCAATTTAATTTCAGCAGTATATCATTTATTTTCATTTATTTACTTTATATGAAAAGTAAAATCTGAGCTCTAAATCTCTTCAGCATGTTTAAAATAAACTAAAGAGATAAAGGAGCATTGTCTTGAGTTATTTTTCTGCTGGAATGTATATTTTTGGCTTATTTCCTTATCTTTTTCATTTGTTCGTTTTGAGCTTTTTTGTTGTTGGATTTTTCGTTTTTTCCCCCTTCCTTGCTTGCTTTGACCAGAAAATATTTCAGTGGTCAATTACATGATATAATTAAATTTCAATAACTTTTGTTTTACAGCAGCCTTTTCATGCTGGGAAAGCATTTTCCCAACCCTCTAAGTACATTCCTGATGGTCTTGCCAGGAGACAGAAAGCAAAGTGGCTACTTGCTCCAAACAGTAGTGCCCCCAGTAATAATTCTCATTTTGGAACTTTTGCACAGTTACTTATTATTAATTTTCTACAATGAAGAGGATGAAATATTTACATATTATGACTGTATTTTACTCTGGCTAGCAGACTGACAATACTGAATCACCAAGTTAACAGGTTAAAATGGTTGTAAGCAGCATATGAAATACATTTGTTATGGCATCATGAACAGAAAACATCTCTGACAAACATGGGTCTTTTCCAAAGATAGCCATCATAGACTGCATGTTACTGAAATACAAATTCATTTACTCCTCTTCTGGTCCA